TAAAAAAATCCTTAAACACTACAAGATAAAAATAAAACAAATGTAAAATATCAACTGTACATGTTCATGTGTCAAATCGATTAGAAATTCTGGACACAATGAAACTATTCACCCATTTGCTGCCATGTAAACTATGTACAGTACAGGCTGAACACATGGCAGACAACACACCCAGGTTAAGGGGGAACTTTCTAGTGTAAATCCAAGTACTAGCAGTTTAAGAGGACTTGTCAGACTCCAGGCTTGATTCTCTTGGGACCTTTCTAAGGATGGATGTCTTTGCTGCTGTGGATTTCTCTAGGTAAAACAAAACTTCTCCACAAAGCTGATGGGTTCATGGAGTCATTAATTGAAATGTAATCCAATTGCAGAAACAGTAAATAAAAAGTTTTTACTTTTTTAAACTAAACTACAAGAATGTGCATTCCAGCCAAAACTTAAAAACTTTTGCATTGTAGGGAGTGGGGAAAGGCTAGAACCTCGGATAGGTCTCTATTGTCTGGAGTCCACATTGCCGGAGGAGGGGGGGATTTTCCTTAACTTCTTGCCCTGGTCACAGGGATAGGAAAACCTCTCCAATAAAAGGAACAGACAAAAATTATAGGATAATAAAATGCAAAAAGGTATTTCAGGACAGAGGGGTGGATTAAGGACTATTGTTCTTTTACATCCACCAGTACATACCATATCCAAAAACTAACACCTTCCAGGCAAAGCCATTTTCATACAGCAGCCCTTTAAATGAATTCACTTACAAGTCAACCATGTGAATGTGGCACAACCGGAAGCCCTGTTTTTGGACTGAGCGGTTTGCATATCTTTCTCAAGCACCATTGCATTATGTCTGCTTACCTGTTCTTTGCATTCTAGTAATGTAAATCACAGGGCCTTGGGCAAATTAAAATCAAACTCATTTTAATTATTAAAGATGAACCCTTTTCACAGGCTGTACATAGGGTTTTGCAAGACTAACAGGACAAATCTTGGTAATGGATTCACCTTTACAATAAATTTCATATAATCAGGTGTCAGACAATTTTAGGCATAAATTAAAGCATGCTGCCAAGTCCCTTAGTCCAGTCCGTTTCAGGAGTCCTAGAAAATGTTAAATGGTTGTGTTGCCCTATAAGAGTCCTCAGAGGCAGTACTGTCAAAGAACATGGTCCACATCTTGTTGTGGCAGTCCGGTGGGGAGGGAGCTGTGACAGAGGGAGATGATGCTTCATCGTGATGAATTGGAACTGGAACGACTGCGGTGACGGCGCCGTGCAGGGGATCGCGAGCGGCGGCGGACAGGGGAACGGCGACGGGGGGAACGGGACCTGCGGAGGGAACACAGTGTTATCGGCTGCACACAAACAAAAAAAACGAACAGGTTTCCCAAAGTGTAGAATGGGGAGACTGTGACATGACCACAGACATACAATCGGAAATTAAAACATGATGCTTTTCCAATAAAGGTGGGCGAATTACAGCATTAAGAGATAGCTAGTAAAGAAGTGTAAATGCAAATCTAAAAAAACAACAGACCCATAAGACCCCGTATCAACCTACTGCAAAGTATATATGTAAACACAGACCTCAGATTATATACCCGGAGGATTTTATTTGCCCTGGCTTGTGCATGGCACCACTTTTATTAGCCAAGACCTGGGAGGTACATGTGTGTGCCTGAATCCCTGCTCACTAGAATGCTGAAGATGCAGCTCGGCTCTACACATTTCCCTGTGGTGAAAAGCCCCAAATGTCTCTTGCGACTTTGTGTTTACTTAATATGTCATCAGGAGGGTGAGGGAAAACATATGAGGTCACTTGTTTATAACCTAATCTATTCTTTAAAAGAACCAGCATAAAAAGCCAACCTGTGTGGCTAGTCTCAGAGTAAATGTGGTTTTATAGACTGTGACACCTGACAGCAGGCTGAGGGAAAAAAAAGCCCAAACAATATTCAGGACAGACCTATGACTGAAGTCGTCCTACAGCCGTACAATTTCTTTTTGAGCTGATAAATAATATGTCATTTGCAACCCACCCCCCCATTCCTGCTCTGGTAGTACTGCTCTCTTAATAATAAAGATTGTTAAAAGAAACCTAAAAAGATGCATTAATGTCCTCCGAAAACATGGCTCAGAGTATGCTTTCCACCACATGCCTCCTTAAGGTCCATGGCACACAAGCAATTCTGTCTCTGGACAACTCCTCAGCAACAAGATAGCTAGGAGAGCAAAGCACTGACCTGCTCCTACAGAGTTGTTCCCTTGCTGGCCGGGCCAGTGAGGTGTAGCTCCATCGTAATCTTAACGGTGAAGGAGATTGTTAGGTTTCTGCCAGTAAGGCATCAAGATTGTACAACCGGGGAGCGTGCTCTGTTTAGCGATCTTGCTGCTGGTGAGTTGTCCCTGGATCCCTAGTCTAACATGGCCCTTACAATTTTTCTCACTAGGCAAGACCAAAATCCTTTAGCCATCAGTTAAATGTGAATATATCACACTAAATGACTGATCAGCATGTACCCAAGTTTGCCCAAAAGGTACACTTTAAATCAAACATTTTCAGGGAACCCTATCCTATGTCCAGATAAGACATTTTCATTTGTTTTGCTCACATAACCCCCCTCCTCCACCCCAGTACTCAATCTTTCTGCACAGCCCCAGTGACCAATAGAGGCTGCAGTATTGGATTGTTAACTGGAGGCAGGAGAAAGGGGGCTTAGGTCTACATCAGCCAAGCTGACCCCATGCATAGAGTCACGGTGAGAGCTTCTTGTATATGTTATTTTCTGAGATTTGAAAAACACATGCAACAACCTATTATTGCCTGCTCTTTATCCACACAGTTATTTAAAATAGTTGTAAAGAAACTCAAGGTTGTTTTACCTTTATACATTCTATGCATGAAGGTAAAAAACCTCTGTGCAGCAGCCCCCTAAGCCCCCTCTTGATCCAGCAATGTGCACTGGAGTCTTGGCTATTCCGGGACCCTCTCTCCTCATTGGCTAAGAAAGCAGTGGGAGCCATTGGCTCCCACTGCTGTCAATCACAGCCAGTGAGCCAATGAGAAGAGAGAGGGGGTCGAGGCGCAGCACTGTGTATGAACAGACACACGGAGCAGCGGTGACCCCATAGCAAGCTGCTTGCTGTGGGGCTACCTGACAGGAGGGAGGAGCCAGGAGTGCCTGTGGGGGACCCGAGAAGAGAAGAATCCTGGCTGCACTGTGCAAACCCACTGCACACAGCAGGTAAGTATAGACATTCCTGTTATTTTTAGTAAAAAAATGTAAGCCTTTAGTATCGCTTTAAAGTGGAACTTAAGTCCACAAATACATCCACAAGTTCTGACGTTGGCGAGTGAGCTTACAGATGTTGCATCTTCACTCTGGATTCTTTGGGCATCTTGATTGGCCAGCATAAGATGCCGAGGACATAAATGATACAATGGACATCTCACGCAAAATGAAAAGCCATAGAAATCTCATATGAAGTTAAATGACAATTTCTTTTTGGCTGAGATCTGCTAATGTATACTCCCTACTACCATCCATAACATTTTCTCAAATGAAAGAAACAAATGGGACTCTAATTCTATTCAACTCAGAAACCTGAACATCATCTCTCAACTCAAACAAGGCATCTGAACACAGAAAGCAGACAAAAGTAACCTTACACTTTATTGCTGAACTGCATTCTGCCCAAAATTCTAACAAAGAGTATCCCCAAATCTAGGAAGAAGCTACGCCTGTTACCAAGGCTCCTGAAGAAGAACTATTAATTTGAACATTGGGAGGTATGTTTGAAAAGTACATTTCCAAAGCTGGTATAGGAAATCAGTGCAGACTAAACCAGCCTCCGAAAGGTCAGAACACAATACATTAGGCCATAATGAAAGTGCTTTTCTCACAGCCAGACAACCCACTATGTTTATTAGTTTGTGAAAACCTGCACAGGAAATTTTGGGTTGAGATGGTCTTTAAAGTCAGTCTGCTCTAAAAGCTTGATAAATTGGGATTTCAAAATAAGTGGTTATAATATATAAAATGCCATCAAACTAAATTTAATGCTGTTTAAAAAAAAAAAAAAAAAAAAAAAAAAAAAAAAAAAGGGGGGGGAGGGAGGTACTTGTCTCTCTGTTGGGCGGTGGCTTTTGGATTTTCACTGTCATCAAGAGCTAAGGCAGATGAAGAATCTTCCTCATCTGACACTTCTGGGTGTGTCAGATGCCTGGTCCATTGGCGCACTGTGGTTCCATTGACCAGCCCCTGTATAACTACAGTAATGATGTAGATTCTAGTACATGGACCCACAGTGTGCAACAGATGACAAGCCATATTGAACATCCTTCAGTTCTCAAAGCTTTCAAAGACAACCCAGTGCCTGCGGTAAGTATTATACCTCTTTGGCAGGAAGCATGTTTTGGCCTTTTTTTTTATAGGAACAGTGTTGCTTCAGCATGCAGTTATGTATATGATTGTTCAATGAAACCAGTAGTACAGCTATACATCCCTAGCTGGTCAACAGTTATTGACAACTCCAAATCCAGGTCTGCAGAACACCACCTTGTATGTGTATTGTATAAAAAGGTAGAAACCATATGATTACAAGATGCATATAGATAAAAAGGTGTAGCTTTTGAAATGCCAGTCTAAAAGAGTTATGAAGATATAAAGGAGACAATAATACAGATCGCTGACAGGACACAAACAATACAGAATGCAGTTTCACAGCAACGGTTAGTAAGGTGCTATTGCCAGGGTTAAGATCCGCCAAGACTTACAGTTCCAAAGCTCTACATAGAGACAGCATTAAGGAAAGACATCAGGAAGACATTGTCATATAAAAAAGCTGAAGGTTAAAACAGACTGGACCTAAAAATTCCAGTTAATATCCTGAAGCAGTGGAAGGAAAGCAAAGAAGGCAGACTGGGAAAGGTTAGGACGGTCAGAATCATCCACAGGGGTGCAGAGATTGCCGTTAGAAGTTCTCAGAGCCTGCAGAAAAGATGCACTACCTCCTCCTCATCCGCGGGGGAGACCGACGCCACATAGGGGGAGGGGGTAACATCCGACGAGGTGGGCTGAATCTTCGGGGCCCTCCCCTCACACGCAGAGGGGTAAGGACTGCTGTAGCGGTTATCTCCTGCCCGTCAATCTGTCCTGGAAGGTCAATATAGAAAGACAAGTTTTTTTTAACCGTGCATAACTGGAGGGAAGACGTAAAGGTTTAAACTTTAAAATTAGCAATGAATATAAACGAGCAACCATCAAACGTTACCTATGAAAATGTGTTCACAATACACATTCCAATTAAAATAAAACATCTAAAATAAAACACATCCCTATCCAAAATATAGGGCCTCTATAACAGCGACAGAAATGATGAAATCGGAGATCATAGTGGAACTATGGCTTCCTTTATAAAAAAAAAAAAAATGTCCTGCAACCTGTTTAGACACACAGGAGCCTTTAGATTTACCCTGTCAGGTCTCTAAAGAAATCAAACAACATGTCCCTGCAAAAGAAGAGTTGCTAAACTTACCTCTCTAGTGACCCATGTCTTCTACCTCCCTACCATTCCAGTACTGCAGCCTCCATCAGTCTTTGCTATTAGACACTTCTTGGAGTGTCAGATGACTGACTCCTCCCTACTGCCTGCTGTAGTTGCACTCCTATGTCACTACTAAGTCTTGTAGGGATGAAGGGGTAAAAGGAAGGAACCACAGAGCACATCAAGGGGACAAGCATTCAACTGTCCCAAACTGCAGCCCTGGAAGAGGGAAGGGTGGAGGGCATGGGCCATAGTAGGAGTGAATATACTGTCTCTTCTATTGCGGGGAACTGACATTTTTATTTCTTTATAGACCTCATAGGGACTCTAGGTTTACTTTCAGTGCATTGTGCAAGTGTTCTGATAAGTTAGTCTGTCATTCACAAAAGCATATGCTGAGTGCACAGAATTCAGTAAAGGAAGATGTAGACATGCGTCCAAAGCTCCCCTGCCTCTGTAGCCTGATCCACATTCCTTCAAGGGGCTATTGACAAGAGGTGAGGAAGCGATGTGACGCCTCCTCACTGCCGGTTTTATCCACACTTTCTAATAGAGGGAAGTCTGTGGTGCTTCTCCATTTTCTAGACTGTGAAGCGTATGGCAGGCTTGCTGTCTGCTGATCGCTACATGACAGGTGAACAGTAAACCCCCTCTCTACTGCCTATTGCAGCTTAAAGGGATTGGCAGTTGGTGGGTGACAGAAGCATGGCTCTCCAGTTTTCTTTCATATTGTGGGCTCTCTGTCACTGGCCAGAGTTTCCAGTCATTTCACATTTTGCACTTTTGGTGTGTTGTTATCCGATCAAGAGGAGTTCACCATCACATGAGTACTTTTGTTGAACTTTTGTTATTGATTCTACAAGGTTTAGATGATGATTCACTTAAGTTATTCACTTTATTTTTATACTGATGTAAACAAATTTTTTAACGCTGCACTTTTTTTTCACATTGTGTTTTGAGTTTATATATCTGGACTTGTACTGCTGGCAGCTTTTTTTGTGGATTTTACCCTAGCAGTGTTTTTTTTTTTGTATGTCTAAAAAAAATCATACCTACCTAGGTGAATGCAGTATCGGTCAGCTGCTGCATCTGTTCCTCGCTGGCTCTAAGTGTGAGAATTCAGTGATCACATGACGGATGAGTGTTTACAGCCGCTCTGAGCAGAGAGCAGTGGCTGTCAGTCACTGCTGTATGCTCCGTTCCCCCCCCAGCGCTCACTGAAGTGCTGGGTTGTGCAGGGAACAGCTGGCTCAGCTTCTCAGTGGATTGCTGAGAGGCTGAGCCAGGTGCCAATCCAGACTCTGGGGTGGATCCTGACCTTAAGGTCGGGATCTTTCCGCAGCCTGGACTGGCTGAGTGATGTCAGCTGAAAATGGGTCACAGGACTGCAGAATGAACTATCCACAGGAGAAGTACAGCCAAAAGAGCTTTGGCTGTAGTTCTCCTTTAAAGCAGTACTAAACTTAAAAACAAAAATGTAACATATATTGCAACTTTTTTAGGTGTGGTGGCTGCGTTTTTTTTTTTTTTTTTTTGTTTTTTTAGACTTTTTCTCTTTATTTTCACCTGCTGATCCAGCCAGTAACACACTTTCAGCAGCATTGTCTTAGGGTGCCTGCATGCTAGTCTTGGAGAGGGTAGTGTTAGACTAGCAGACTTGGATAGACCTAACAAAATTGAACTCCAACTAACACTTTAAGCAATTACAAGTTTTTACATAAATGAATACAAGGTGACCATTGTCATTGTATGCTCCCCTGTCAGTGGGTAAATGGTTTGTCTCAACTTTCTGTTACTTTGTGTGAACAGCTTGGTCTGTTAAAGTAAGTTTAAAAATAACAGATTAAAAGAAAAAAGCCAAAAAGGGAAACTAATGCAGCCACCACATCTAAGAATTGCTGAGCTGCAAATGAATATTTTTTGTTTGTTTTTAATACCACTTTAATATTCCACTGCTACTTGCAATGGTGATTCTTTCATCTTGTCATAATGTCCGCACAATTGTAGAGTTACTGTATGTCTAAAACAACAAACTGATTTGCTTGTTTACCTCCATCCATGTGTTTTAGGGCTTTATCGGCTTCATCTGCTGCCTCAAACTCCACATAGGCATAACCCTTATTAAGGTGCGGGTGACAGCGGTCTACTGGCATGTCGATGATTTTAATCTTCCCATAGGTGGAAAAGATCTCTAGAATGTGGTCCTGGAAGAACAGAAATGTTAAGCATAATGCAAAGTATAATAACTGTAAAATATGGCAATCACACAACATCAGATCGGTACACAGATTTCTGCTTAATGTGAACCTGGGCTTTTTGACCATTTAGAAAAAAAAAACAAGTTCACTAAATAAGCAGCTGCAAGGGTTGTCAATAAGTCTCTTCTGCACTGCCAGGGAAGCTAAGCAACTTTCCCAAGGTTCTACTGGCTAAGGCTAGTTCAAGGTCCAGCTCCTCATCTGCTAGTTGTGTTGCAGCAATGCTTGCACGTTGATGTGTGTTCTTCCACATATTAATGTGCATTAAGATGAAGGATAGGTGATTAGGGTGGAACATGTAACATGTTCCCAATGCTGCAGCTGCTGAACATCCTCCCCCCATACTGTCAGATTTGAAAACATCGTGGCCGTGCTGACACAGCTGTGCCATTCATTCACAGAGTTCCGTGAATGAACTGCAAGCTCCGACAGCCTTTGCGGCTGTCAGCTTGTAGTTTTCAATGAACTATCACAGCGCTGTGGAGTGCCGTGGTAGTTCACTGAATTTTTCTGTCAGCATATCTGCCTGCTCATACATCCCTGCATGGCACCAGCGATCTGCTGAGCGCTGGTGCGCAATGCTTTCTAGGCTCCTGCAGACAAAAATAATAAATGCACATTTTTTCACCTACAAAAAAATGTGCATTTATTATTTTTCTGCAAAAGGTGAACTTATCTTTAGCTCATTCAAAGTAATGGGCTACCTACCGCACCAAATCACATTAAAAATATATACATACTAAATTTTTTTTTTTTTTAACAGTGCACCAAAATAAACAGTAGTGTATTGCTGTGTTTTGCATGTTGAATCGCATGGTCGTTAGAAAGGTTTGTTGGGGTGCTGTCAAGAATAAATGGCACTGCAGCACAGAAGTGTGCGCACCATGCTGGGTATACTGGTGAACGGATATTCAGATACCCAGTACTATTCACTATCACATGAGGGATGAGGAGTCGGTCATCAAGAGCTGTGTAAGCTCCAAATTGCAAAATGGCACCTGCATAGGGCACTTCTTGATCCTGCAGGTAAACTAAGATCAAGGGAACAGGGAATGAAGAGAAGGCAAGTATGGTAAAGGTTCACATTAGGGACCAATGAACCAAATAAACTTTTTTTCCCCATGAGGCAGAAGTTTCATTGATGTAACTCTCAGCAAACCTATTTAAATTGATGTGCTCAGGACATCACTGCTCTTTCTACAGCTTTACAGTTTAAGCCTGACTGCACTCAAAAATTCAAACTTAATGACCAGAACATTATTAAACAAAGCTAACCTTTGTAACATTTCTTGTCAGCCTCCCAATGTGGACTTTGGTGGGCCGTGGGCTTGGACTTCGCCTTTTTCTCTCCTTTTCATCACGTTTTGGCTGCTTGGATCTGTGAGAAATGAAAATAGTGTTATTTTACCAATATAGCATGCATTATCATTGAGAAATCTTGAGACAAGTATTAGCAGTGCTGGCCAAAAAGAAGTTGTCATGTGGGCTCTTAATCAGAATGGCTGTATAAAAACAGTTTCATGTAAGCCTATTATAAGAAAAGTACAGGTGCTGACACTGCTGATAACATATTGAAAATAAATAAATGTTAACTTCCTGGTTAACATAGGTCAGTGACTTCAAACAAGTATGCAATAAATTAGGCATGAAGACCAGACATTTAGCATTTTCAGAAGAAAAGGTCAGCAATGGTAGCCTGCACATTAATCTCACAACAAGTTTACTTTAGGCATTTGCCACCCCTCAAACAATGCACACTGCTGTAGCATGAATTACCCTATATTAAGAGGTTGATAAAGGAACAGTTTAAATTGACAAGGTTTATGAAACACGAAGCCAGTGGCAAGTGGGTTAAAAATGAACAACAAATGCTCTACTTGAACTATAATAGCATATCTCCTGGTTCAAGTACTATATAGTAATGTGCCATGCTGGCAGAAGACAAATTATTATTTTTTTGTTGTTAATAAACCACTTAAGGACCTCCATAGATTAAACGTCCATGGCCTTATTACTACGTCTTCTTACTATTTAAAGGACAACCCTGTTACCAAAAATACTCATTTTTTGCAGGTAAACAAAATGTGCATTATTTTTAGTTGCAGGAGCCTGAAAACCATTGCACCAGCAATTAGCAGACTGCTGGCGCCATGCAGGTCTCCTGCAGATCTGTCAGTATATCTGCTTGCGTGTATGTGCCCGGGATGTAGGAGCAAGCAGATATATTAATAGGAAGAATCAACGAACTACCATGGCACTCCACAGTACCATGGTAGTTCATTGAGAACTAGAAGCCGACAGCCGCAAAGGCTGTCAGGACTTGTAGTTTCTCATTCATAGAGGACTGTGAGTGACATGGCCAGGCGGGACTGAGCCCTACAGGGTCACTTTTTTAAAAAATGTGACAGCTAGCAGCAGTAGAGAAGACCCCCGCTAGCTGCCAAAGCAGGGGCCGCTGTATTCATAATACGTTACATCCTGAATATGGGTGTAACATGTTATGAAAGGTGAACTGATCCTTTAAAAGGCCTTTTAGATTTCCAAAAAGGGTAACATACTTGGAGCGTGAACGCCTTCGGTTGTCATGTCTACGGCGAGAAGGACTGGGAGAACCAGAAGAGCTGCTAGAGCTTGAGCTGCGGGATGAACTGGAACTTCCAGAGCGGCTGGATGCAGATGAGGAGCTGGACCCTGAACTAGATCCGGAGCTGGACCCAGATGATGAACTTGAAGAGGAACTGGAGCGGGAGCTTCTGGAACAGAAGTGTTAGCGTATTCATCAATAAAACAAGTAGAAGTAGCAGCTGGTCAAAGCAGAGCTAAGGTTTGAGCAGAGAACATGTCTCACTAGGAAAGAATGCGTCATTACCCCCACATGCCTAAACGCACTGCTGCTACATGATTGATCAACACTGTTGCCACTCTAAGTTACATATATACTGACAATAGGCATGTATTTTATAATGTTTATTTGCTGCATTTGCCTCAAGCTTCTGTAAGGAACATCATGAATACTTTACTTTGACTATTTTTGATTAGCTGTGTGTTGTAGTCAGTTAGGTGTTGGTACACACACAATATGTACATGCTTTTGAGGTTTAGTGACACATCAGTAAATAAACCCATGATAAGACTTGCAGAACACAACCTGTTTTGAAGCCTGCAACTTTGAAAGCAAGAAACTATAGTTTTATTCCAACTCATTTTTCTTTCCCTACAAGTTCCCACTAATTAATGTTCAGTGGTTCAGTGTGCCGCAGGAGCAAGAAAATAGACGGTAACTTTGTCATTGGTGTACAGTTTTGAACTGTTTGCCACGTACCTGCTGCTACTACTGCCACTGGAAGCACTGCGTCTCTTTCTGGTCTTGTCTCGTCCACGGTCTTTCTCTGCTGTCTCTTTTCCTGCAGCCTTTTCTTTAGTCCGATCCTTAGACCTGTCCTCAGACCGTTCTTTACGCTTGCTAGGAGAGGGCGCCCTAGCAAACAGAGAAGTCAAGAGCTATTATGTAGCCTCATACAATACAAAGCAAATGTTATGCAAGATAAATCCATTCTGATTGAGCACATTTTTAAGGAAATGAGCTTTAGCTATTAAAGTGATTCTATGACCGTCTATTATGTGATTTATTTCGAAAAGAATAGGCATTCTTTAAGATCATTACTTTTTTTGGTGTCTGGATCCCACTAGAGGATTCACTTCCTGTTCTGAAGAAGCAGAAGGAAAAGAAAAAGTTGTATTAGACAAGTGTCCCCGCCAATGGAAAATTTCCTCCAGTCTTCTTCAAAACAAAACCGTAACATTTTGGATTTCCAATCACCTCCATGGACAGAGCCATCCTTTCTAGGAAATCATCCTGGTAATGTGATAATTATGCCAGAGATACTGCTGACTGCTTCATGGTCTCTGCAATTTTTGAATGGAATGAAGTTCTACAACTGAAGTCTACACACACGTCTATTACATTGACTTTTTCAGTTCAAGTAATGGCAGAGTTTGGAAGCAAACACCTTTGCCTAAAACTATCTGCTTAGGCATCAAAAACGTTATTCAAAACGCAAGCCTGTAGTTAACCAGGGTGGATAAAAACCAATGATTTTTTTTAAAAAAAAAATAATCAGATTTTTTTAATTTAAATCTGATTTTTTTTAATAAAATGCTTTTTGAGGAAAATATATGACCATCCAAAGGTTATTCCATCATGAAATAAAGATTAGTTTTTTAATTATGTAGAATAAGGCTGTATATGTTTAATATTTTTGGTAAATAAATTCCATTACTACATTCACAATGTCATGCTCTTCCAGAGGTTTTTGTAAGATTATTGGTCAGTTTCTCTGCCTACAAGATATTATCACAGATGCTCGGTTTACTTTTGCAGTTCTCAAAACTGAATTTTACTCAGCGGAGATCACATGCCTCTTCTTCACAGCAAAAATGTTATAACATGAACAGAGTTAAGAAAAAGACCTTCATCCTAACTTCTACAAACCTATGAATACAGAATCAACCCCTTCACTGCTAAGTTTCAAGAAGTTCAGTGAATAGAATAGAAACAATATTTTTCTGATTGTTTGGAGTGGAATAGATCTGCACAAGAAGAAAGTGAAACTAAGTGTGAGGAGGAAGGGGCTGACAGTCTAAGTTTCCTAAAATATATATATTTTGTTTAGCCGAATTAGTTAACAAACATGGATGTTTGTTTAAGCAAATCACATATGCTGGAATGTTATTGTTTCAGTTGAATAAATCTATTTAAATGGTTATTATTAAGGTAATGATTATTTTTCTCCTTCCTAAGTACAACAGAAAAGTTGTCCAAATATGAATGATTAACCTATTAAACTGGGGATAAAAAAACTAATATGAAAAGTTGTTATTCTAAAAATCTTCATCTACTTGCATATTAAGTTAACCAGCAAGAATTAGTCTATGTAGAAAACTAGGATTTAAATCAAGCCTGACTAGTGATTTAAATCATGATTTAAATCAGTTTGATTTAAATCAAATCCACCCTGCAGTTAACCAATATTAAATGATCAGGTTTTCATACAGCAGATGCATGCATGCTAGTCCAACAGCTTTACATATAGTCCAAGGATCCAGCTGCTTCTGTCACAGGAAGGCTTCACAGTGTTGAATCTTTTACAAAGCAGAACATGACAATAAAGATAGATATACCGAATCTGTCATGGTTCTGAAGTTCAATGCTCCAGAGCGTTTATACTCCTTGCTTCATTACTGGCAATACATGGAACAAGGTTTGAAATTTGGCAATGTGTAGCCCTGTTGTAACCCTCCCGCCTGACATCCTTCAATGTAACGTAACAAAAAAAAAAAAAAAAAGAAGCTAGGTAGAAAATTACCAAAGAGTGACTGCATCCAATCAGATTCAGGCATTGTTTGGGAATTCTGACAACCTGCAGCCAGAATACAAAAGCTGCAGCAAGTGATTCGCCAATCTGCACTGTCTGGTGTATAGCCAGATTTAGCAACTCACTGGCCTGAAAATCAGGAAAACATCTGCATACCTGACATGCAAACAGACGTTCCACAGATAGATTGGAGATCACAAACCTTAAATTTGCAATGATTAAAAACCAAGTACATAATATTTCTGTGCTGGCAGGTTCAAATAAATGTAAGTTAGGGGGACAGCTACAGAGAGCACCAACACTGGAGACAGACCAAGCTCTTCCAATCTCTAGCAGGCAGATCTCGCCACTGATGCCCCCCCCAAAGGATAAACCAGTGAGTGAATCATGTTGTCTGCCAGAATCTATCCTGGAGAAATCAAGGAAGGGTTCACACTACGAGCAGAGAAAACCCTTCAGTTTTTCTCTGAAGGTAGTGATCACAGCTGGGGGATCCCACACCTCTTCTCAACTCCATTGTAGTTTGAACAGGGCACATGCTTGTTTTTGTAGAGATCTGCGTTTTTCAAGTGCAGGAAAATGCAGGTCTCTGCACATAGTGTGAACAAGCCACCATAGTTCTCCTGACTGGACATCTACTTATGAAAAACTGTATGACTGAAAGCTACCCTCAACTTACACTGGCCAAGCCTGTTTTTGGGAAGAATTTCTGTGCCCCCCCCCCCCCCCCCCCCCACCTCCAAACAACCAGCACATCAACGTGGAAGAGCATATTAAAAGCCCATTCACATCAGATGCATTGGAATGCATTTTGAAGTCATTCCCACTGCATGTACAGTCCAAAATCCATGTTACCTCATGCACATAGTTCACACCATTGCAGTAGAAGTACAGAAAACTGCATTTTTTCACAACGCAAATGTGTGTAAACGCACAGACAACAATATGCAATGCACAAAGGAGCTCAAAGAAGGAAGTGGCCTCAAAGCAAATGTAAGCGATCCCCTAAAAACGCACCACAAATGCATGTAAAAAAAGGCCCGTTGATCTGCACGCAAAAAAGTACGGCTTCCGATGTGAATGGGCTCTTGAAGGAGAAGTTCACATTTTGGAAACATGTTACATGTTTCACCCGTTTTTAGGGTGGAAAATGTAACATGTTCCCACCGTGGCAGCCACTGACCAACCTCCACGGGGCTGCAGTATAGGGAGACGTTCCTCCTACCAGCTGTCAGTTTTTGAAAAAAATAGTGTGGCAGTGAAGGGCTCTGCCCACGCAATTGCGTCATTCATTCATTCATGGTGTTCTGGGAATGAATAAACTACAAGTCCCGACAGCCTTTGTGGCTGTCTGCTTGTAGTACTCAATGAACTACAAAGGCATTGTTGAGCGCTATGGTATTTTTATTATTATTATACAGGATTTATATAGCGCCAACAGTTTGCGCCGCGCTTTACAATATAAGGGAGACAGTACAATTACAATACTTTCAGTACAGAAGGAATATGAGGGCCCGGCTCGTGGAGCTTACAATCTAAAGGAAGGGGGAGGTGATACAAAAGGTAATAGCTGCGGGGGATGATCTGGTGGAGGTGATTAAAGTACAGTTCTTAGGTGGAGGTGGGGTAGGCTTCCCTAAAGAAGTGAGTTTTCAAAGATTGCCTAAAAGGCAGACAGGGTGGGGGCTGACCGGACATGCTGTGGTAGGGAGTTCCAGAGGATGGGAGAGGCTCTGGAGAAGTCCTGGAGGCGAGCGTGGGAGGAGATGACGAGAAAGCTAGAGAGGAGGATATCATGGGAGGAGCGGAGTGGGTGATTTGGCCGATATCTGTGGATGAGGTTGGCGATGTAGCTAGGGGTAGTGTTGTGGATGGCTTTGTAAGCTGTGGTATTTTGAATTTTATACATTGGGTTAGTGGAAGCCAGTGGAGGGATTGGCAGAGAGGGGCAGCAGTCGTTGATCGGTTGGTAAGGTGTATGAGTCTAGCAGCAGCAGCATTCATAATAGACTGAAGGGGGGATAGCCTGTGTAACGGTAGACCAGTGAGGAGGGAGTTGCAGTAATCGAGGCGGGATATAACCAAGGTGTGGATGAGTTGTTTTGTGGTGTCATTGGTCAGGAAGGGGCGGATTTTGGAAATGTTCCGGAGGTTGAGGGGCAGGATATAGCCAGTGAGTGGATGTGGGAACCAAAGGAGAGGTCAGAGTCTAGGATTACGCCTAGCACCCTGGCATGAGGGGAGGGACCAATGGTTGTGCTGTTGATCTTAATGGTAGAGTCATGAGTGGGGGATCGGGGAGGAGGAAATATTACAAGCTCAGTTTCTGAAAGATTGAGTTTGAGGTAGTGATGTGACATCCATGCTGATATGTCACTTAGTAGATTTGTGATACGTGAGGAGATTGAGGGGGTGAGCTGGGGAGTGGAGAGATAGATCTGGGTGTCATCAGCATAGAGGTGGTATTGGAAGCCATGGGAGGTTAATAGTTGGCCCAGGGAGGTGGTTTAGAGAGAGAAAAGGAGGGGCCCAAGGATAGAACATAGTTCATTGAGTCTTCCCGTTAGGCTCTGACACTGGCAGTTTGCAAGAGTCCTGCATGGCACCATGATGCAATACGTTCAAGGTAAAAAAAAAAAAAAAGTAAATGTACCGTATTTTTCGCACCATAAGACGCACTTTTTTCCCCCCAAAAAAGGGGGGAAAATGTCAGTGCGTCTTATGGAGACGAATATAGAGCGGCCGGTCCGGTATTTCCACTGCCGCCGTGTCAGAATACCGGGCCAGCCGCTCAGCTCTACAGCGGGACCTTATAGAGATGACTGCTGACCTTTGGGGAGGGGGGGAGCGGGTACCTGAATTTGACAGATACCCGCTCCCACTTCCGTGGAGTTGTTCTTTCATCTTACCCGTTCCTCTAGCCAGCGGCGCGGTCATCCCGGCTTCTGTAGTGTGGGCATGACAGCCGGGTGCCAAGTGCGCATGCGCAGGAAGCGGTGCTTTTTGTGAATGGTAAGGAGGCACCTGGGACACATGACAGATCCCAGAAGCCGTCGGACCAATCACAAAGCGCAAGTGCTTCTCGCTCATGCGCACTGGGCAC